GCAGTACAGTGGCACCATTATAGCTCGTGCACCCTAAAACCCCTGGGCTCACGTGATCCTCCCACCTAAACCTCTCAAAGCGTGTGCCACCACACCTAGCCCCCAGGTCCCTTTTACAGCTGCTTTTCTCCCCAGTCCAGGATCTATTCAAGTTCACACACAGATACATTGGTTGCTGTGTCTCTTTAGTTTCTCCCTCTCTCTATTTAAAACTGCTTTACTGAGCCATAATTCATATTAACCATACAATTCATCCATTTAAAATGTATAATTCAGTGGTTTTTAGTATATTTACATCATCAAATAAATTTTAGAACGTTTTCATTACCCCAAATAGAATCCCCTGAAGACTTAGGCAGCCCTTAATCTACTTTCTATCTCTATGGGTCTGCCTCTTCTGGACATTTCATGTAAATGGCATCATACTCTCTGTGGTCTTTTGCGTCTGGCCTCTTTCACCTAGAATTCTAAGGTTCATTCACATCACAGCATGGATCAGCATGCCGTTCCTTTTTGTGGCTGAGTAATATTCTGTTGTACAGATAGAACGTTTCATCCGAGTTGTTCCATCAGTCCCTTTGCATCTACACTCACTCTCTTATGCCTTTTTTATTTTGTTTTTCATCACCTTGACTATTTTTGAGGAGTCCAGATCAGTCGTCTTATAGAATAACCTACGTTCTTGATCTGACTGTTCTCTTATGCTTAGGTTCAGGTTCTGCAGTTTGGGCAAGAATTCTGGTCAGGGCACACGGAGTTCTTCTTACTGCATTCGAGGCTCAGCCACCCAGGTTAGCACTCTGCTCACGAGGCTCTGTTTGAACTCTTGGTTAAGGTGGTGACTGCCAGATTCCTCCTTTGCAGGGGAATTTGCATTTTCCCTTTCTAACTTGTCAGTCATCCCTGAGGTGCCAGTGTAAGACCCTGTGACTATCCTGTGCCCTGACAATCTTTCCATCCGATGCTTTGAGCATCCTTGAGGATCATGGCCTGAATCTTCTTGGACACTGGGGTTTGCAAATGGTGGTTGTCCAATTTCTTGTACATTTTTTATTGGCATTCTTCTGAAAGAAATGTTCTCTCCCATCCCTTTGGAGTTAGTTGTAGTCATTCCTTCCTAGTTGTGCTCAAATTGTCCCAGATTCGGCCTGTGGGAGCCCGTTTAAGCTGTTTATGTCCTTTTGTTATCTCTCCATTATTCTTTGAATACTTTCTTACTTCTCAGGACTAGAGGATATTCCAAATACCTTGCATTTGGAATTAGTACCAAGGAGCCTGTGGTAATATTTGGAAACCATTTTCTAGCTAGTAGGTGTTGTCACTGTGATGAGATGTCATTCCTTCTGGGCCTTTTCAGTGGAGCATTATGAGAGTATGTGTGTCACGTGTGTGTGTGTCACGTGTGTGTGTGTGTGATGCATGCATGTGATATGTATATGAAGTTGAAGTAGTAGGCACAGGTTATCAGCAGCACAGGCAGAGCCTGAGATTGCCTGTGACCTACCATGGTCCTCAGGGGTTAAAGTGAAGCACGCCTAATAGAGCAGAGACCAGAGAAGGTGTCGACACCCACACAGGGAACACCCACCCTCAATGCCATTACTTGTGTTCCTGTCCTAGCCAAGTTATAGGGAGGAGGTGTGACCTCTGTGCCCATCCTTATTCCGCAGAGATTTATACACAGTGGTCCCAAAATACATGTTTGTGGTTGATGGAAATCTTTTTTGCCCTCCTGCAAAGACATGGAAAACAAGATACTGTGTCGGGTCTCGAAGTGGAGAGATGGCGGAAGATAGAGGGAAGAGTTGTGCAGGCTTGGGTTCCAGTTTCCACTTCTCTGTTTACTAGCCTCATGACCTTGGACAGTTATGCTTCTGCAAGCCCCAATTTCATGATCTGTAAAATGGAATTGATGTCATTTCATTTGCTGGGGTTGTAAGGATGAAATGAGATTAAATATGTCAGACAGCTAACCTGGAGCCTGCCATCATGAGCAAGCACTCGCAGGCGGTAGCTCTTGCATTGCCTCTTCCCTCTTTTTTGTGTATGACAGAGTCTCGCTCTGTCGCCCAGGTTGGAGGGCAGTGGCACGATCTTGGCTCCCTGCAACCTCCATCTCCTGGGTTCAAGCGATTCTCCTGCCTCAGCCTCCTGTGTAGCTGGGACTACAGGTGCATGCCACCATGCCTGTCTAATTTTTGTATTTTTAGTAGAGACGGGTTTTCACCATGTTGGCCAGGATGGTCTTGATCTGCTGACCTCATGATCCCCCTGCCTCAGCCTCCCAAAGTGCTAGGATTATAGCAACTGCACCCAGCCACTTCTCCCTGCTTAGCTCCCCATCACCAATTTCATCAGCATCCATAGGTAGACTAGAGTGTTGCCAAGGCTGCTGGAGTGCTGCTATGTGGTAGGGGGCTGCATTGGGAGCATGGTGGTGATGGTGGTAATGTGTCCATGACAGGAAGACAGACTCCTGCAGATGGCAGAATCCATCCCAGAGGCTACTCTTCCCGCTTCCTGGCAGGTATTTGCTTGGCTGGTGTCAGTACATGAATGAACCTATGGAGAGAGAGACTCCCATTCCTGTCTCTTCTCCTTGGTGACCAGTACCTCCTCCCATGTAGCCTCTGCCTGCCTTCCTCCCTCAGCAGTTTTGTCAAGTTGCTGAAATTGGCAGAGCTGACACCTTGGGAAGGTATAGGCTGGGCCAGCTGGATGAGATGATGCATTAAAAATGTCTGTGGAAGCTTTAGTTGGCCATAGAGTTGACTCCAGCTGGGAGCCTGTTGGGGTCGATAGAGGAGTTGCCCTAAACAGAGGGACCTCAATGAACCACAGAGTAGATCACATCTGTGTGCCTCTGAGTGAGGTCCACAGATTCTGCAAATCAGAGATGCTGGTGCCACCTGGGACCTTCTGGATCAGGCCCAGCAGCTGGGACTCTATTTTGGATACTTTCCTCCTTTGATTCTGATGCACCTCAAAGCTTGAGAACCAGAGATAACCATCCATTTTACAGATGAAGAAATTGAGGCTCAAGGAAGTCAGATTCTTGGGCCAGGGTCTGAAGGCTGGTAATCGTTGTCTTGTCTGTGAAACTGATGCTCTGTAAGATTCCTTTTTTGCTAGGCATCCTAAGGATATCAGTTTTCCTGAGGTGACTTTAATTAGCAACCCAAGAATGACTGTATGGGAATAAGGTAATGAGACCTTAGCAGGACACAGTCAAGCTCCCTGGTTTGCCTAAATTACTGATGCATTTCTGAGGCAAAGGCTGGACCTCACCTGTAGATGGTCATTCAGCCAGGTGTCCAGGGTTGTGCTCGCCTGGGGGGCGGGGTGCCCTCCACCCCAAGCTATTGTTTCCCTCTTGTTTGAGAAGCCCCTTCATGCTTTCTCTGGCCTTTATCTATAAAGTGACAGCCACTTCCCTACATTCTACCAAGGAAAGAGTAAGGCCAGGCTGGCCACAGTGGCTCACACCTGTAATTCCAGCACTTTGGGAGGCTGGGTGGATCGTGTGAGGTCAAGAGTTTGAGACCGGCCTGGCCAATGTGATGAAACCCTGTCTCTACTAAAATTACAAAAATTAGCCTAGTGTACTGGCAGGCACCTGTCAGCCCAGCTACTCAAGTGGCTGAGGCAGGAGAATCGCTTGAACCTAGGAGGCAGAGGTTGCAGTGAGCTGAGATCATACCACTGTACTCCAGCCTGGGCGACAGTAAGATTCCACCTTAAAAAAAGAAAAAGAGTGGCCGGGCACGGTGGCTCAATCCTGTAATCCCAGCACTTTGGGAGGCCGAGGCAGGTGAATCACGAGGTCAAGAGATCGAGACCATCCTAGTCAACATGGTGAAACCCCATCTCTACTAAAAATGCAAAAAAAATTAGCTGGGCATGGTGGTGCATGCCTGTAATCCCAGCTACTCAGGAGGCTGAGGCAAGAGAATTGCCTGAACCCAGGAGGCAGAGGTTGCGGTGAGCCGAGATCGCACCATTGCACTCCAGCCTGGGTAACAAGAGCGTAACTCCGTCTCAAAAAAAAGAAAAAGAGTAAGGCTGTGCACAAGTCCTGGGGCCCATGTATGATGGCCTGCAGTGCCTGAGGGGGGAGCCTGCTTTCCAGATTGCTTTGTGGCTCAGGACAGAAGACACCCTAGGTCCTGCTTGGGGATCTCTGGTATTGAACCCCTAATGTAATTGCTAATAGAGCAATAGAGAACTGGAATCAAATATTCTCTTTAGAGTTGTAGGATATTAGGACACATGTGGCCTTTTCCGCTGGCAGTCCTTAATTTTCTCTACCAGAAAGATCCCAGGACTTTGGCAATTTACTGAGGACCCCAGGGCTCAGAGGTACTTACTTGGGACTCTGGTTTTCTTGCTGGTGATGGAAGATGTGAAAAGGCAATCTAAAGACTGGATGGAGCCTAACAGTCGGCTTGGCTGAGAAATCCCTCCTGGCTCTCGGGGTTGGGGGAGTGGTGAGTCGGGGAGGTAACCCAGCAGTGCCCCAGTGTACATCATGTGTATTTGGGTGTGATGTTTTGGACTCGGGGGGGTTCAGAATAAAATGTCGCGTGCTGAGTCTTTAGTGCCAGGAGGTGGTGGCCTTAACTCTCTTCTCCCCAGTGGATTCGTGGCTTCAGGCAGCAAGCGGCCCGCGGAACATTCACCAGCAGAGGGCGGCGGAAGGGTTAACTCCCCAAATCGCAGGCAGAGAAGAGGAGGGGAGACCTGCTTTGGAGCAGTTCTCTCAGAGCCTGTGCAGGAGGCTTCCTGAATTCGCCTTCAGCCTGAGAGCTGGGCGTGGGAACCGCATGGGGTCAGGGAGACCCCTGCCTGCCCTGGCCCAGAATATGGTGACTTAGGAGTTGGCAGCAGGCTGAGCATCCCTGAACTTCCCCAGTGCCTCCACTCTCAGGGAACCTGAATGGGGGGAAAAAATGTCCAATATGGAGAACAGCTTTGACGATGTTTCTTGCCTGTCTCCCCAGAACCTGGGATCCTCATCACCAAGCAAAAGGCAGAGCAAGGAAAACACCATCACAGTAAGTAGCTCCCAAGGGGCGCTCCTAGGATTGGGCTGTGGACTGGGGTGTGTGGCTGGGCTGTTGCCATGGTGATGTGGATCGCCAAGCAGAAGTGATGCCCAGCCTGGAAAGGGGGAAGTTCCAAAGCTGAGATTTCACTGAAGTTCCTCATCCATGCCCCCCTCCTACCTCCCCTTCTTCTGTCGATTTCACATTTCTCTTCTCTCCTGGTGAACAAGTGGAAGGAGGGTGGCTGGGATGATGCAGAAGCCATTTTTTCAGGGCAGGAGGGGCAGGTACGCATGCGGGAGTGGGTTGAAGGGGGTGGACTGCACTCAGTGCAAGTGATGTGACGTGTAAATTACAGCCGCGGCAGGGTTGCTTTTGTGCGGGGTAACTTCTGGAAGATGTCAAAGTTAAAAGCAAGAGAAAGTGCTCTAAGAATAGAGTTCTGAGGAATTCCTGATGAGAGCAGGCAGCTTCTGCCTAGAGTGGCCAGACTGCCTCCCAGGGCACTTCATGATGCCCACCAAGTCCCTATGTGGAGATGAGGGGGAGCCCCATGCCCCACCTCCACTCCTCCGCCCTGTGCTTGGGGCAGGTGGGGCTGGACATCATTGTGCCCTGATGGGCACAGACCTAAGAAGTGTGGTGCCAGGTTTGCTATTTTGACACAAGTGCAGGAGAGCAGGGAACAGGGGATTGCTCTCTTAGACTCCAACTCACACAGCTCTGAGCCACTCCAACCACCCCTGTAGAGACAAAACCAAGAATGGGTGCATTTCCCTGCTTCATCCAGGCTGCACATCCTGCTTTGGGAAAAAAAGTTTAGGTAAACAGTTAACAATAACAATTGCTGCTATGTTTGTGTGCATTTATTATGCACAAGTAGTGATTCAAGTGGCTCATTTAATTGTCTGTTAGCTATATGAAGTGTGAGTCATAGGATCAATATAGTATAGCGATGACGAATGTGGGCTCTGAAGCGGGAGAGTCAGTTATATGAATGACTGTGCAGCAGCCTGGGGTAAGTTTCTTGATTTCTTCCCATCTCAGTCAATATCTATCAAGTGGGGAAATGGAGGGTGGTCTGTGCTTTAGGGATGGTGTAGGGACTAAATAGGTCCATCCATGGAAAGCACTTAGAACACAGCCTGCACATAGTAAGTGCTCTGTACCCACTATCATCACCCTGTTTACAGGTGAGGAAACTGAGACACAGAGCAGCACCTTGCTCACGGTCACCTAGTGGGAAGCATCAGGATTTGAAATCTATGTCCTTACCCACCACAGTGCCCCTTCTGAATCTGGCTTGGGTACCTTGTATCATGAGCTCCTTTGGATGTCCTGTGTTGATGGAGGGTGCTTCCAAGAACTGGGCGGAATGGCTCAGCCTGCTTGGACTGGGGAGTAGCAGCAGCCTCCCTGTTACTGGTAGAGTTGATGGAGCTGGTGGGGAGGGGGTGTGGGCAGGCCCAGGTGCAGAGTTCCAGAGGGTACACAGTGCCCATCTTCAGATTGTCACAAAATGCCCCAGAATGCTGGGGCACAGCTGGAGCTCTCCAAAGTCTGAAATGCATAAAAAGGAGAGGGAGGAGCAAGATTGGGGTGGGAGTGGGAGACATATTTGATTCTAGAAGAAAAACAAAAATGCAAAATGAAAAGTGTAGTGTTATGTCATGGAGGGTTGCCTTAAAGGCACTTAGCGATGGTGCCCAGACTGCGGGGTGGAACACCTGCTGGGCTCCATCTCGCAGCCAGAGCTTCAGGTATGGTCAGAGTGGGCAGACAGGGACCCTTGTTGGGACCGCACACCTCGTCCATCCCTGCCTTCCCTGTTCCTTCCTGCTGACCTGTATCATTGCTTCTTATGAGGGAGTCTGCAACGTGTATTCTGAAGCCTCCAAGACCTTTGTTTAAAATGCAGTTTCCTGGATGGAACCCCAGACCGACAGTTGTTCTCTCTGGGGACAGACTAGAGAGTCTGCCTTTGAACCAGTGCCCCCAGAGGTTTTAAGTAAACACTCATGCCTTGGAGAATTTTTTGCCAAGGAAACTGAGCAAAGGAGGGACTGACTGAAGGTCATAAAACAAGATTAGAGTAGAGCCCAGGACTTGAACCCGTGTCTCTTAGCTGTCAGCCCAGGACATCTCCCAGTGTACCACCTGGCCTTGGCCCACATGTCTCCAGGCCTTGGTGCCCTTTCCCTTCCACACAGTATTGCTCTCCCACGCCCAGCCTCTTCCCCGGGGTTCTGATCCTCCAGAGTTCATCATTTCCCAAGAAAGAGACGCTCAGGGGAAAGGGATGGCTCAGGTCTCAGGAGGCTGGGACATGAACTTTCCTGTCCGTAATGTGCAGGGATGAGGCGAGCCACTTCCCATGCTCTGATCCACAGAGCAGAAATTTCCAGGCTTGGGCAGCAAAGGGTGGTGGGTCCAGAGCAAGAATGAAGCTGGATTCTGAAGCTCCTGCTTCTCCGCCCATAGCCTGGAGCTAGTTTTCAGGGGACAGATACATGGGCTCCCTGACAGCAGCAGGCAGGGGCTGGCAGCCTTGCTGGGTCTCATTTCCGCTGTCTCCATTGCGGGCTGGCAGGTGGAGCGTGCTGTTTGATTGGGAGTGACGGGCGCTCATGGCAGCTCACAGCCCTTGGCACAAGCATGAACGGCGTCTGAATCTAGACGGTTTCAGAAATGATGACAACAAAGCCAGCCGGCCATGCACACTCCTGGAAAGAGGAATTTGGGGACTCCTGCGATCCTCAGCTTCAGGGCTTCCCAGCATAGCCACAGAACCCTGGGTGGGAGCTAGGGGGCTAGAGGTGAACACTTGAGGTAGTGTCATTTCTGTTTCACAGAGCTCCAGGGCTGCCTTTTCCCTCTTTCATACTCTCCCAGATCAGCTTTCCTCTGGGAGAAAATTCAGAGCCTGTTTGCTTGAGCCCTGGGTTGTCAAACCCGGTCTTCCCTTCTCTGCTGCAGGCAATCTGGTCAAACAGGCCGTGTAAGGAGCTGTGGCCTCTGCTCCCCACAGGCTCCTGTGGGGCCAGGACTCAGGGGAGGGGGCGTGCCTTGGGAGCTCCCTACGTCAGACCCCTTGGGTGGGTCACGTGTGTCCAGCAGCTATCACACCATGGCCAGGTGGTTTCTGGCTTCCATGTCCTCCTGCACACCCCTCAGAGAGCTTCTGGGAGGCAGCTCTTGTGATTCTGGCTGCTCCTGTGCAGAAAAGCCCTGGCAGGGACCCCAGCTATACAGTGGACCCCAGCAGTTGGGGAGGGGTGGGAGTATTACTCTATTTCCCTGAGGGTTGGAGAAAACAGAGTTGGTGCAAGACTGAAGAGGCAGCCGGTTGAGGACGGTGGTCTCAGAGGAAGTGAGGGGGGGACTGCCTGCTGGAACTTGCCCTGAGCAGTACACATGGGGAGACATGCCCCCCACCAGGCTCCCTCTTGAGCACCCTTTTTGAGCCCCTGCCTTGGGTGGGGACCTGGCACATTTACACCTCAGTGTGTTGGAAAGGCTGAACGTGACAGAGACTAAGAGCCTAGACTAGAGCCAGCTTGCCTGGGTTCAGGCCCTGGGTCCACCATTCCGTGCACAAGCTGTGTGATCTAGCATAAGTGACTTAGCCTCTCTGTGCCTCAGTTTCCTCATCTGTAACATGAGGATGATCATAGCACCTGCCTTGTGGGGTTTTTATGAGGATTAAATGAGCTAATACGTGTAAAGCACTGAGAACTGTGGCTGCCACATTATTCACTTTTGTTGAACAAACAGAAAGTGGCAGTGAGGCTCCTGCTGTGCCTAGGCAGCCTTGGGAAGAGAGTGGGGTCTTTCCAGAGGTGTAGCTGGACCCTTGTATTAACCATCCAGAAAATGTCGCCCAGGGGAGGACAGGAATCCACATGCAGGAATGTCCTGTCCCACCTTCTCTTCCCACCTTGGGCTTTGGAGCACCACAGGACGGAGCTGTGTGGCCCTCCCTTCTGATCCAGGGACATAGGAGCCTTTACTTTGAGGTCTGGAGAAAAGTGGCGGTCCAGGAATTAGGACGCTGGTTCTAGAACCTGCTCTGCCACTTATAGCAAGCTAGAGAGTTAAACGCTCTGTGCCTCAGTTTCCTCATTCTCTGCATAAGCTTGCACTAGACCATTGCAGGTAAACATTGAGGCTCCAACTGCCTCCAGGACATCTGTGCACACACAGCTCTGACTGTGCCCCTCTGCTGCCACTGCCTCCCTCTCTCTGAAGGGACTGTTCCCCCATCTTCCATCCCAGTGAATGGAGACACGCTTATTCTCCACCCAGGCCAGTCGACTCAGGGTTTCTCAACCTCAGCACCATTGACATTTTGGGTTGGATGGCACTTTGCTGTGGCGGACTGTCCTGTGCATTACAGATATTTATCAGCTTCCCCGGCCCCTACCTATAAGAGGCCAGTAGCATCCACCCTGGGCCCCACCCAGCCATGACAACCAAAAATGTCTCCACATTGCTAGATGTTCCTGGGGTGGGGCAAAATTACCCCTGGATGGGCATCACAGAATTAACTTCACGGTGCTGCCAAGGCTCCCTGTAGAGAGCATCCCAGGTTCTTTTAATCCCCTCTTGACTGTGCTGCTCCCAGCTGCTATCATGACCCTCCCCCACCCCCCATCACTGCAGACTTCCCTGGTGGCCACAGTCACATTCTCCCTCCAGTGCATCCTCGGCGCTGCCATGGGAGTGCTCATCCCAAACAGCAACCTGATGAATCACTACTCTCCTGCAAGGCGCTTTCATAGTTCCCACTGTCCTGCTGCCTTCAGGACAGACCTTGGCACCCCAGCAAGGCCCCCTCTCACCTCGGGCTTGTCTACTCCCTGACTCTGAGCCCCAGCCAAACTGAGCAACACGGTCCCCACTTGTGGGGCATATCCTCACATCCCGGGTCCTTTTCCTTCCTGCAGTACCCTTCACCTTCCCACCCCTCTGTCTGCCTGAGCCCTACTATTACTACCTAAATCTCACCA